AGAAGTATTAATAGTATTATAAAAAGTTTTTTACCCCGATATTATGAAAAATATGACGGGAAATATCATGATATACGATATTATCAAATGTCGGCCGTGGCCTATAATGCAGTAAATATAATATAGACAGTATATACCACTGTCATATATATGTCCAGCAGCTCTGGGAAGACCCTTGAGTTACATGCAGTGATATGGGGATTCACGTTTCCTCTGTTCTGACTGAGTTTTTGTGTCTACATGAAACAGACATTGTGTATAGTGTTTCATATGGACTGGCAAAACACACATTCCGGCCTCATACCACCAGCAGGTGTTTAACACAGTAATCATCCTAAAGAAGCTCCCAGTGTGTGAAAGTGTGAAGCTGTAACAGCACAGCTGGGTATAAATATTACACTGGACTCACAGTCAGAACAATGGGAGGAAACAGAGAACAGCTACAGACAAACACACACTTATATACACACACAGATTCACAGGACCATGGGTCAGCAGCTAACTCCTGACAGACTGACTTGGCTCAGTGGATGTGAACAAAGCACGAGGTCTGGAGAGGCTTTAGACCCCGTCGGGGCTTTTGTGTTTGCACGGTGCTGCCATGGGTGATGAACACGCATCTAAATGTCCCATATCTGAGCTCCCACTGGTCCTCTGCCAGGGCTCTACTGGCCATGCCCATGTTACTAGAACTGTGTGTCCAAATAAGTTTTTCACTGTTAAACTTTCCATGTCTCTGCATCCAAAACGTCATGTTTTGTACTCAAAATGATTTTATATAGATTAGATTTATAGATATAGATTTTATATATAAACTTTACTTTTTACTCAACATTCAAAATAAGCCTGTTATGTCTATATGCAGGCTGTTAAGCTAAAACCTTCTCATTGTCACAGTTCACTGTTTTGGGGGGATTTATGTCTATTTTCCCAGGTTTTAGCAGTTTTCCAATCTGCACCTTACTTTTCCTCCTCTCAGTTGAGAGGCCCCCAGCCTCTGTTTGTACCTTAAACCCCCACAGCTATTGTCAGCTGTTGTCTCTTGTCAACTGAGTTAAGGCCTGTGCTGGTTCTTTAAGTAATAGTAGATATCTGCTCTAATCGTGCGGCTCATTTTAACAAGCTTTTTCTACCACAGTTAACCCTGTCTCTACATTTGGCTCATGAGCTGCAACCTGGGGCTTAGACTTAGCGAATTATACCAGTTGCTGCATGCCTCCAAGTCATTACATTTAAGTATGCCTGTAACTTAAGCCTTAAGAGGTTTAGGGACCTATTTAATTTCATTATCGTCATTGTTTCGTCCTTCAGCTGAGCATCAAAATTAACAAGTCCTTGCAGCGGAAAAAAGGAAAAGAAGCTGGATTTCCTTATTGAGATATGTCTTTTGATTTCACAGTCTGCTTCATGTTATTCAGTTGTTAATGAGTTTGGCAACAGCAGCGAAACCGTCGCACAGTAAGTTGTTAGAGCAGATATAAACATAGATCAAATCACTCCCTCTCTCTTTGATCCTCACTACTCATCTGTCACCACCTTAAGAATAAATGATAGCTGCCCTTGGTTTGTTGTGTAACAATAATCGCTCCAGCAGGCAGGTTCAACAAGTCTTCAGTTCCACCTAAGCCCTTCCCCTCAATGTACACCTACCATTCAAGACAAGCCATTGTGACGTCTTACACTGTGCAAATAAGCAGCCTAAGTACAATCTATGTACTGTAGCCAGTGGGGTGTGCTGTGTAACAATTCACCAACAATGCCCACCATTTCGGTGCATGGGTAATCACGTTATAGAAGCAAATGCACGTTTAAAGCAAATGTCTTGAGCGTTGTGCTCCTTTGAGGAGGTTTGAAAGAACAGGGCCGCCTGTGTTGAGATAAGCTTAAACCGATTGAACAACCTCCACCAGGCCCCTCAGTCCTTAAAGCGACCCTGCTTAAAAAGGTAGTAAACAATCTAGGATCAGGTATTATGGCTCAAACTGCACCTTGGAATTACTGGTCTCTCAGATAAGCTCAGTACTTTTTCCACTGCATTAAATTTTAGGCATTTTCTTGACACAGAGCAGCTCGCGTGCAGTGAGGAGTGAGCAAACACATGTATCTGGGAACTAGTTGTGTTTATTTGGAATTGAAGCAGCTGAAAGAATGAGCTGTCACACCCGAATTGACCTGGTTGTACACATGCACGGTGAGACTTGTCGACAGTCTTGACAAACTATTTTGCCAGTTGGTAGCAGTTAAAACATGCCACTGCAGACCCATCACTGGGACTGGGTGTCACAGAGGAGAAAACACTGGTTTATGTCCTGAATGCCTCAAAACTGTAGATTATCAGCAGAGGTCTAAAGCCTGAAATTACCCCATGCATTTTTCTGAGAAAGATTAACTGTGCTTTTCTGCGTAGGTTTTGAGAAACAACTGGTTTTGACAAATTGAAATGTAGTGTGCTAAAATCAGAGCTGTAATTTTACTTCCTGGAACCAGAGCACAAAATATCCACCTCTCACTAGATGAATGCTGTCCACACTTTTCCTGCAATTTACAGTAAGGCTGTAATTGAGGCTGTAATTTGTGGTCTTATTTTGATGCATTGCAACATCAACTCTGTTGCCAGTTTATCAGGTTTATCAGGCTGAAACAGAAGCAGCAGTCACAGCACTCCTGCCAAAAGATAATCCAACCTTTGTGAAGGTTATAATGTTCCATTATTGTTGAATCTGCTCGACAGGTGACAGGTGTTTCTATTTTATGTGTAACAGGTGTTTGAATCTATTTTGCCCTTCCCATTTCATTGAGGGTAGGCTTAATAACAGAAGCTCCTCTCTGTACAACTCAACACATCTTCCACAATGATCATACAACTGAATCAACACCTCTCTAAAACAGTCTCAATCAAAACTGATCATTATAACCTTCATGAATGTGGGTTAATGCAGGACTATTGTATTAGACTGCATTAGATTTAGCTAGGTGTACCTAATAAACCGGCAAGTAGATCTGCAACAATTCACCCATTGGTTGATCGACAGGAAATGAATCAGCAACTCTTTTGAGGACTCATTAATCACTTTTTCAAGAAAACTAATTTAAATTAAAGATTATTCTGGTCTCAGCTTCTGAAATGTGAATATTTTCTGGCTGCATTTGAATTTGAAGATGTCACCTTGGGCTTTAGGAAATCGTGATGGACATTTCTCACCATTTTCTCACATTTTATAAACCAAATGACTAATTGATTATTTCAGACCAAAGCAGATTAACTGATAATGAAAGTAAGTGTTGCAGTCACAGCCCATCTGGCAAGAGATTTGTTTCTAAAAGGTGTGATCTAAAGTCCAGTTAATTGTACAATTGTATTGTGTAGCATCACATCAGTACAGGTGTTATTTTTCTGCTTACCACTGAATGCAGATCCTCCACTGGACTGGGGGGTTTGGGGGGTGGGACGTGGCACTCTTTAAATCCACACGCAGATACTCTGTCACACTCGTTACACAGGTAATAGAGATCATTGATTTGTGGTGTGCACTGTGCAGGTTGCTCCAGGCACTGTTTTGTAATTAAGTGCTGTACATTCACCCTCGTCTTCTGTATATGATCTGCTGTGTTTCAATTAGACCTGGTGATTTTGTACATCCTATGATGACTCTTGCCCTCTTTCAAAACAAACTGACATCTATTGTCAGTGTCAACATTGATGTCTCAGCCTCTTTTATGACGGATTTCTCCCTGTGTAACTGTTGAATCTATAAAAAAGAAAAATATTTATCCTCACTTCCTTATTTTCTACAATAAAAGCTTTACTGTAAACGTCTCCATATCAACTGTTTGGCTATCTTTCAAACAACAACAACAAATCCACTACTACCGAACAACAAAAGCAGCCCACACATGTCAGCTGCATCACCAGCAGCATCAAAACGTGGAGTTTCCCCCCCTTCAAATGGGAACTGGAATCAGGAAGCTCTGGACAAACATGCTCCTCACACACAATGATGATGCACTTTTGTGAACAAGTGCACATGAGGGTGAGTACTGGGCACAAATTAGCACATGCATGGAAAAGTTGGAAAACACACAAATACAGAGGAAAGAGAGGAGATGTGTGCAACAATTTAGCCATTATCATTTCTATAATGATCTCTGAATGGCCTTGAATGAGAGACACAGAGAGACTGGTTTACCATTATGTCACTGTGCCACCTCACCAGTTGGGTGGGAGCGGCCTACTTCAGAACAACAGCACACATTAAGTGCATGAACTTGGAGGAAAGAAAGCCTGATTCTGTCTCTGTGCTGAAAAAAAGAGGCTTCAATCACTGAGAGCCATGACTGGGCTGTGGACTAAATGTCTGCAAACAAAGAGCAGACTTGACAGCGTTACAGGAGCTGCACTGAACCGGTCCACTGTCCTTTCCTTGAAACCTGGCTGTCAGTGAAGCTGTTCTTTCATCGATTAACTGTCTCTCTGCAGGAGGCTTTGAGGAGAGGCCAGGCTTCTGGAGAAAAACAGGCCGATTGTCTCTCTCCTACCCTCTCTTGTGTTTCTTCCTTTCTTTGATAGCCAAGCCTTTACAATAGGCATCATCCTTCCCAATGCATTCAGATGTGTGGAGAACACGGCCCATGCGTGTGCACCTGTGCATTGAGTGTTATGCTTTGTATTTCTGCTATGTCCACACACAGAAAACCGGCTGTGCATCACACTTTGAGAAACTGCAAATCCTAGCCAAGGGGAAGCGCCGACACACCGAGAATGTGTCCTTATAAGCGGGTGGCAGCATCAGGAGGTGCCTGGCTGGAACTGGGTCACCGTGCTAAAATGAAATGAGGCTGATAATTTATAGATACAGTGTGTGTGTATTAGCAGATGCTGCTGTTGACCTGTGAGTGTTTGCTACGCCCGCGGCACGGACTGACAGGTGGCACTGGGTAATTAAGACACAGATACGCATTTACCAGTTGATGGAGAATTAAAAGACATTTTCGTGACTTACCTCAGTGCCACGCGGACTGAGCTTTCATCTTGCCCCGTCGTCATGGTTCCTCATGCAATAATAGGTGGAAAAGGAACAAAAACCGGATTTATTTGTCTTGGCTGCTTGCCCCTGGCAAAACAGCGAGAAAAAAGTGCGCACTCCCCGAGCAACGCAGCTGCTCACCTCGATTTGAGCGCCGCCATTTCAAAACAAACAAAAAAAAATGATCTCAGCGGTGTTTTAACCATGATATCAGCGTGGAGGTGAGCGGGAAGGTAAGGCGGTGTGTCCGCATGTCGCGTTTACGTGCGCTGCATCTCTGCGCAGTTCGGCCCAGATGCTTCAGCTCCAGCCCACATGCACACTACTGCCGCCACCGTCGCCGCTCATGCCGCTCAGTGAGCCATTGCCGCGCGCGCACGCGCGCGCACAGACACATACACGCATTTTGAACACACGTATGCGCGCGCCGCCTGCCTGTCTCGGCTCCGTTTACGCACCGGGGAGGAAACCGCAATGCGTCAGCAAGCCACGCCCTCTCCGGAGCACCGGCTGCGAGATGACGTCATAACAAGGGTCTCATGCACATTTTATCAGAGTAGTGATGACAGCTACACTTTTATTTTGTAACGAATAATTACATGATGTAGGTTAAACCATACTCTAATATGGGTGTAGTCCTCACACCTTGAATATGTGATTAATTAAACTATCAGGAAAATTACACAAACATAAATCCAGTCGTGGAAGAGATATACAGGTCCTTTACATACTTTACAGTTAAGTAAAAATACTAATACCACTAGAGCTGCAACAATCAGCTGATTATTCCATCAAGAGAAAATTAATTAGCAGCTATTTTAATAATTAAGAGTTTTATTTATTTTTGAATCATAAATGTCATAGATTTGCTGTTTCTAACTTTTCAAATATGAGGATTTGATGCTTTTCTTGGTCACACACAGCAAACTGAACATCTTTTGATTTTGCACTGCTGGTCAGATAAGACATCAGATGTCACCTTGGTCTGTGGGAAATTACGACTACTGAGTAAACTAATAAATAGCAGATTAGGCTAATTGAAGTGTTGGTTAATATTAGTATTTTCCTTATCTGAATCTATTTGATGTGTTTACTTAAATGTTAGGAGTCATACAGTAATGTTGAGGTAAACAGGTGGTAAACAAGGTAAATCAATTGCGACTGTAAAGGGGGACAACCAGTACTAAAACTGAATTAGGTAAGATTTACATGCAAAATAAAAATAAATATATCACGAAATAGATAAATATGTCCAGCCCCCTCTCATTGTGATATTATCCTCCTCCACCCTCCCACTCTCCATTGTACCTTTATGTTTGATGGTGTAGAAGCCGACCCCCTGACTGTCTCTCCACAGCAGTTTGCAACTCTCTGGGCAGGGGAGCAGAGAGAACAGCGCCTCCTGCTGTCAACACCTCTCTACTACCTGACTGAGCAGGAGCACAATCACCCGCTCCTTCATCGACTGCACCTGGGGACAATATGCTGATTTAGGAGGCTCATCAGCACAGATAAAAACAAACAGCAGGCTACGTGTGACCATGCAGGTGACTGTGGTAGAAATAAATACAGTGAATGAATAAAAATGTTAACTGCATCAATGATTGTTCTGAGGTAGTTTTGATTTTTTTTTCCAATGAATTACATTCAACCATTCTATCAAGGTCAGGGTCCTTGTTTCTACCATTTTCCTGTGTCTCCAACAGGACATTCCAATCTGTGCACTCAAAGCAGTCTTTTAGAGACTCACTGGCCTCTGGGGTCCAGGTCCTGAATGACGGGTGGTTGCAGCCTGCCTCAGTACACAAGGCTTGTAGGAAGGCTGAAGAAAAACCAGATTATGATCTGATCTGCCAAGTGGTGGTAGAGCTGAAGCAGTGTAGGCCTCCTTGACATTTGAATACAACAGATCCAGTGTCTTATTTTCCCTTGTGGGACAGTCAACACACTGAGTGAAGCCAGTCAGGTGAGAGGTGAGAGTGACATGGTTAAAATCCCCTGATATTGCATTGAATGCATCAGGGTGCTGGGTCTGTACTCTTACAGTTTTTTCTGAATGCTTAAGCGCTAATCATGTTCTTGTAGCACAATTTCTAAAACTATTAATACATATAGCAAAACCACTCACTGAGTTAGCCAAACTAAAAGCACAAATACTGCTTTGCACTCAGTTTGTAATTTTGTAACAAACACTTTGCAAAACTGTAGGCACAATTCACTGCACAGCACTCTTTTTGCAGAACTTTAAACACAACTCGCTGCTTACACTCAATTGCCAAATTTCCAAAACACTCCTAGCAAAATTATACACATGTATGGCTATTATTTACACTATTTTGCCAACTGTCTGGCACACTTTCACATGTGAAAACAATTTTAGAGAATTAGTTCACTTTGCAATCAGCCTAAGCACTATAAATAAGCCACAGGTAAGCTGTCTGTGTGGAGTACAATGGAAGGAGCAAGAAGAGTAAGAATCAGAGGAGGCCGAGGAAGAGGACGTGGAGGTGAAGGAGTTGGAGGAAGAGGACGTGGAGGTGAAGAAGCAAGAGGGAGAGGACGTGGAGGTGAAGGAGTTGGAGGAAGAGGACGTGGAGGTGAAGAAAGCAAGAGGGAGAGACGTGGAGGTGAAGGAGTTGGAGGAAGAGGACGTGGAGGTGAAGAGCGAGAGGGTTAGAGGAAGTTAGAGGAAGAGGACAAGGAGGAGCAAGAGGAGGACGAGGAGGGGGAAGAGGAGAGGTAAGAAGAAGAAATAGAATAACTGATGACATCAGAGCAACAATAGTGGACCATGTCATAAACCATTGAATGACCCTGAGGGAAGCTGGCCAACGGGTTCAGCCTAATTTGAGCCGCTACACTGTAGCGAGCATCATTAGGACATTTCGAAATGAAAATCGGTAAGTACAGTCACATTGCACTAAGATTGTAGCACTGCCCTACTCTAATGAGAAACACAACAATACCATACATGCAAAAATTCTGAAATTGTTACTTTACAGAATTGCTAGACGTCCAGATGTTGGGGCCGAGGAAGAAGTTCACTCCAGAGCAAGAGCCCCATATAGTGAATATGGTGATTGCCAATAACGCAATAAGACTACGCGAAATACAGCAGCGTATAATTGATAATGACACCATCTTCCAAAATATACGCAGTGTGAGCATGTCAGTACTAAGTCGTGTACTTGCCCGCAACAGAATAAGGATGAAACAAATTTACAGAGTTCCTTTCGAAAGAAATAGTGAACGTGTGAAGCAACTGCGATATGAGTATGTGCAGGTAAGCTATAGTGTCATTGGTTCTGAATTTCGAAGTGCATAGGCTACTGTAGTGCTGTGTATGGGCCTGATGTGTTGCATTTGTTTTGTCTTGTCCAGAGAGTAATGGAGCTGGAGGCAGATGCCATGGGACACGAGCTGCTCTTTGTCGATGAGGCAGGTTTTAACCTCAGTAAACAAGGAGGCGTGGTAGGAACATTATGGACACCGTGCAATAATCAATGTCCCAGGACAAACTGTGTGGTAACATCACCATGTGTGCAGCTATCAGCCAAAATGGTGTTGTTCACCATCATGCAACCATTGGCCCATATAACTCTGCACACATGATTGCATTCCTGGACACCTTACACGACATTCTCACTGTTCAGAGACCAGAGCAGACCCGATATGTTATCATATGGGACAATGTTAGTTTTCCGTAGGGCTGCTTTGGTCCGCAACTGGTTTACCGATCACCCACTCTTCAATGGCACTCAACCTTCCCCCATACTCTCATTCTAAATCCGATTAAGAGTTCTTTTCTGCCTGGCGCTGGAAAGTCCACGACCGCCATCCCCATCAACACGCAGCCCTTTTACAGGCAAAGGAGGAGGATGTGGAGATATTGAGCAGCATCATGTCAGGCCTGATACGGCATGCAAGGAGGTATTTTCCCCGTGGCCTTGGACTGGAGGACATCGCATGCGATGTAGATGAGATTTTGTGGCCGGACCCAGAGAGACGGCATGATGTAGGCTGATTGTCTTTTTTTGTTGAATTTATTATTTTGTGTTCTGTGCTGTGTCTTTGTTTGACGAGTGTGAATAAAACACCAATACTTTGAAGTTTTGGATCCCTGTGTGTTTACAGAACTATGACAAAAGTTATGACCTCAAACTGACCTAGCCTACCTTGTGCACAGAGAAAGCAAAAGCCAGATGTGTTTTGTATTCATACCATCAGTGTGTAGTTGGCACATTATGTGCTTATTAAATGATGGCATGTGTTTACTGTTTGATACGAAAACACCATTTTTACTAAGGTGTGAAGAGTTAATCAAGCTGTGTTCGCTTTGCAAGGAGACTATACGTTTTGATAATTTGGTGAAAGGTTTTCTCATTTGTGGTGTAGAGTTTAGCAAAAATAGCCAATGTTGCAAAAAATGTGCTTAAGCATTCAGAAAAAACTGTAAAATGGTCTCATGAATTACGTCACATGCGACTGCAGGCTCTGCTCGTGGTTGAATGTAAACAACAAATGGTGACGATGTGTGAGAACTCCCTCGGTACATACATTACAGTCTAAGACCAACGGCCAACAGTTCAATATCCTGACAGCAGATCTTCTCCTTCACTGTTGATGTGACCGGGGTTGCACAATCTATTGTTCACAAGCAGAATCAGGTCCTCCACCTTTATTCTTCCCACGTCTCTGGCGTCTCTGTCGCTCGTACTGCAGTTAAGCCAGGTAAATCCACACAATGCCTACTACAATACTCAGTAAGAATATAGTGCATACTTCCTACTAAATGAACAAATTAGTACCAAGCTAACTGTTCACACTGAAGTATACAAGCCAGTATCCAGAATGCATCTCGCATGAAACTGGCAGGAACTGGCGGGGATTTTGAGTTGGGTAAGGCTGCAGCCTGGAGCTTCCGGCCACCTCGTGCCTTATGCCCTCTCGCCTCATGCCCTCGTCTCATGCCTGGGCGTGTTACAACGGTAAATGTACAGGGTTGACATGTCCCTAAATATGAGGACTGTATGATGAAGTGGC